CAACGATCTACCCAAATTGCGCACTTCCGGCAAGATCGGCCGATCCCAAGGCAAGATCGACGCAGGACTTTTATTTGCTGAGTGAAGATTTCCGCACAGCAAAGACCCCGATCTCGAAGACAAATCAAGATTGGTGCGATCCAAGATCGGGATCGCAGAACCCCGTTCGTGGTGTGAAGATTTCCGCACCGGAAGCGAACCCTCAACCCAACCTCTCAGCGAGATCGACATCTCCCAAGGCCGTTACGAAGAGCTCAAGCCAGCCCAACCGACGGGTACACAAGGTGAGCACAAGGTCATACAACAAGGCACGGATCGGAGTACCCCCTCCGTGAGTCGGCAAGTCTGGGCAAGTGGAAGATCGACACTCATAGAAGCAATTTTGTGAGATCGACTTCACCACGAAATCTTCATACATTTCCACCTCAACGCGCGGAGTCTGAGGCGGCACGCCCTGGTGTAACAGCACAAACGTCCGCACAAACTCCGAAATCTCGCCGTCCGAGTGACAACGCATTATCAACGCGTACAACTGCTTCGATGAGAGATGGTAGCCTTCGCACTCCATGTTGTACGCAATCTGCACCGTGCGCTCAATCAAACCAATCGTGGTGCCGAGACCAATTAGCAAGACGTACAGTCCGCCTGGAATCGCCAGCTCGTTTGCACTCAGCTCACGCAAGAGCAAGAAACAAATGTCGATACCGCAAGACCCGTACAGTGTGTTGAGGACGTAGTCAAAGAGCATCCTGTCGGTAGCAACACCTTGACTCGCCATGTCTCGTAACACGTCTCCCACAGCCTTCAAGTCACCGCGGGATGCATGAATGAACGCCACAGTCGTGAATGCCTTCACATCCGGAACGATATCATGCTCTTCCATCGCACCAATGAGCGCAACAGCATTGCCTACTTCACGACGGCGCATGTAGATGGACAGGAGCGATGTGAACACCTGAATATTCGATGTTAGCTTCCACTCAAGAAACACGTCCATGAGATTAAACGCCTCCCCGATCGAGGCGTTGCACTGACTCTCCACCATCTCAAGCATCGTAATATGCCGGGCACTATCGACGAGTTTTTCAGCAATTGCGAGAACAGCTCCTTGGCTTGGTCTGGTCTATTCGTAGCGGCAAAACAGCCAAGCGCATCGTTATAGTTTTCTACCTCTAGTATCCAGGCACCTGCAAACTTCTGTTCTGTCCAGAATACCACGTCCAACACTTCTTCAAGGAACACTGGATCCAAATGCTTGTGACAATAACGAATCGCTGACCCGAATCCAGCAGTACGAGCCACACCTCGAGCTACCATCCCGCGGAACGCATCTTTAAACGTGAAGAAATCCTCGATCTCCATACATGCTTTTAACACGTTGACGTAAATATTTTCATCAGCTAGCAGCACTTCATCCACGATGCCAACCCTCTCTGCAGCTTCGTCGATCGCGTCGTCCACCGGTAAGTCGTCCCAGCACAACCGAGCCTCTCTCGTGTGCTTTCCATCACTTCATAACAATGCAACGCCAGCGAATATTCATCAAGCTTTACACAGCAGCGAATCGCAGCTCCAAAGCCTTGCTCGAGCACTCGTGTCCTCACTCTCTCCACCTTGCCTCCTGCTGCACGGCGCGTTCTCTCCACATAGTCCGAAAACACGTGCACCACATTTCGGACACTGTTACGTGTGCACACTTGATTTAAACAGTTCAAGGAACCCTCGTTGCTGGAAATCTCGCACTGGATCGAACGCAGCACTAGCAAAATACGCGCGCGCAAGCGCCAGCACTTGACCATGTTTTTCCTTGTAAGTTCTTTTTTTATTTAAAAATAGTTAAAATAATTTGTTTTTGAAAAAAAATTAAGAAAAATGTTTATTGATCAAATAAATAAAGTACAAAGTATCATTTTAGTACTTAGTGGATTACGGTTTTCATTAAGATGTCTCTATGATAGATATCATACTCGTTATATAAATTATTACGGAGGTTTAGCACATGCAATGCCTTTATTCTGTATTGCTTTATTTATTTATGCTTTAGCAAATATGTTAATTCCAGCCACGAAATAAAATTTGTTTTCAAAATAATAGAAACATTCATAAGAATTTAAATGTATCAAAATTAAATACAATTAAATTGAATTTATTTACAAAAAAATTAAGAAAGAACTTTTGAGATTGAAATAATTCTTAAACTTAATGTTAATAATCAATTGGAACTTTTTTAAAAAGTGACAGTGTTCCTTTTGCATAATGGGCCCATCTTGGCCATCAGGTGGCCAACCACTGATGGCGGCATCAGCGTTTTACTTTGCTCGCTCCACCCCGTCGTCAATGTCGCGTATGTAGTAGTAGCACCAGAGCGAATCTCCGGCCACAACGTCTGCTGATACAGCAGCAGCTCGTGAGCAGCTGCAAACATCTTGATATTGGCACAGCCATTGACCACGGCTACGAGCACGCGGGCTACAAATTGCGGTCCGTATCTCCGCTTCAACTGTCTCAAGAGCTTCTGCATCTCATCCGTTCGAAACCCGCGTAAAGAACGCTGTCGTCACACTGTAAAAAACAAATCGGTCCACATGGGTACACTTGCATTTTCGCAACTACAATTCGCGATTAAACCCAAGAGCTCCGGTGCCACGCGTTCGCCTTGAGCCTCCGGTCGTCGCTGCAGTGCCACGTTCCACGTCCGGACGTCAATCGTCACCAATAGCGCCGTCTCGTCAATGACGCGCAACGCGCGACAAGTGGCTACAAAAGTCGTGGGCGGTGTTTGATTCGACAATAAAACGTTCAATTGGTTCGGACTGCGGGGCGTTTTTTCGGCAGCGTCTGATTGACTGGCGACCGCGCGCGCGGACGCAGCGCCGAAGCGCGTGGAGAGGACCGATCTTGTAGACGCGGCAGCACACGGTCCTGTGCATTGACAGCAACGGCGCAATAAAACCGCGTCGGGTGACTGCCACATGCCTGCTCGCTGCCACACCCGACGCAGCATCTCGAGCCGTTCGTTTGCTTGAAACAAACGAGAAGTTAGTGCTTGGCGTCGTCCACACCAATGTTGAGCGTCGTCACAAGCAGGTCGTATTTAGTGTCCACCACAGCGACTGACTCGTCAGCACAGTCAGGACTGCGTCCCCGCGAGGTAGACCATCTCCCTCCCCTCTCTCTCTTGCTAACGATCTGCATAATCAAAGCGCTCTGACTAAAGATTTGCCGCTCACGCTTGCTTGGTACGCGGAGGATGTGACTCGTCTTGTCGAGAAAGAGGTGCAAGAAGTAGAAGAGGTTATTCGCGGCGTTACCCTGAGGCCGCCTTCATCGAGTGGGAGCCTGATAGCAAAGAGTCGGAGATGCGTTCCGTGTCGAGTATGCAGACAAAGTCTTTCCGTACGAGCGAGCGTGAAGCCATGACGCGAGCGTTGGCACTGCTTGCACGGACATTAGTGCGGAAGACAACAGGCGCTGATCGTCCAGGTACTACCGGCACGAGTGAATACATGTTCAGTGGTGGTACGTGTGACATGTGGATTTGCTTGTGTTCAATCGGCGTTGGAAACTACGGATAAAATATACTTCAACAACCGATCAGATTCGAGAGCGCGTCCTGTGTCAATATCGAGAAACGTAGCGGTCATTGCTACACGAATTATGCATGAAACAATGCACAAGTTGTTGCTGCGTCAGTAATTTTACCATGCAATGAATTCACTTTTACACTTCGGGTGCCTTCATGTTACAATGAAGCCAATACTACCACATCCCCTGCTCGAGTCTGCTCACTAGTCCTACTTTCATGCACCAGGCCACTGCAAACTTCAATGTGACTTGACGTTTCCATTCGTGACCACACTTGTTCACACCCCGCTGGGCATGACGTTGCCACAGCTGAAAAGCGAAAAGAAGGGGTGATGCGAAATCATGCACAGTACACGAGGTCTCCATTCCAAATCTGCCTCACCAACAGATGCTGCATCGCAAAAAGAACACGTTGTTGGCAACAACTTCGACAAAGTAATCGACGAGTCGCATCGTAGCACTTCGAAACGCGCTCTCTCTTTCTCTTGTTCTTGTTCTCTCTTTGATGGAATACTAAAACTATAGCCCGTCGAAAACTCGCTGGCGCGCTGGATACTGGTGTGCGCCACATCACTTAACGTGTCGGGGCTTCCAAGGCTGGCAATAGCTCGCCACATGCTGCGCTCACTGCAGTTGTCGCTGCGGAGTTCGTAGAGCGTGCGCACGCTGCCTGTCGCTTGGATTGTCATCGTCGCATGTTGCCTTGTCCACTTCCGAACGCGGTGACGCAGTCGCTTTCGCTCCGATGGCTTGCAACGACAGTCCCTAATGGACAAGACTTTGATACTGAACAAGCTCCTGATATGAAGAGGAAGGAGGATAAGAAGAAGATGGGTACAAAAGGCAGTGGTGATGAAGGCGCAAGTGACAAGAGGACGGGGATAACAAGGAGGAGGAGCCGTTTCGTACAATGGCTGTTGAGCCCACGTACCCTATGGGAAACTCCGTGCGGACGTGAATCAGGCCTATTTTCCAGGTAAAGTGTGCCGTTCGACGTCTCGAGACGTGATGCTTCGAGCCATGATCGGCAACACACTCATTGTGACGCTCAAGGTGCTGATGTAACTCAAGACGGGCTCGAATGCCATGCTCTCGGAAGCAATTCACTCGCTCGTGGACACTGGCAACCAGGCGATTCTGATCTTGGGCTTGAAGCAAGCATCGGGTGTGCCGGATAAAAGCACCAATATGGATACACACGTGCTGCATACTTTGGATCGCTCATCTACGCGCTTGGCATATTCTGGTTAGGTTCTGGGGTGACGGTTGTCCACGGGATTAAGTCGCTCTTGGATCCTTCGAAAGAGCTTTTTCTTTCGTGGGAAGTGTGGGGTGTGCTAGCAGCTTCTTTTGGCATTGACGGATGGGTGCTGAAGCGGTCGGTACAGGAACTGAGGGCTTCTCAGCCCCAAGACATGTCGTTTTACAAGCATGTGACGCGGACAAATGATCCGTTTCTGATGGCTGTGCTGCTGGAAGATATGTCAGCATGTGTGGGTATCGTTATTGCTGGATGTGGCATTGGGGCCAGCCACATTACTGGCAACCCGGTGTGGGACAGTCTCGCTAGTGTATCGATTGGCGTGCTTCTTAGCGGTGCTGCAATATCACTCATTCGTTTGAACCAAAAGTATTTATTGGGCCAGTCAGTGGAGCCGGAAATTGAAAAAGGTATCCGCGAGTTGCTGTTGGCGCGTCCGTCTATTGATAACGTGTATGCTGTCCAGTCACAATGGGTTGGACCATCGACATTTAGCTACAGGTATGACGGCAGGACAGCACGACTTGTATCGCCACTTGTGTTAGGTCTTGACCCGTGCAATAATTGGTCTGTTCTAGGCTGAAGTTGACTTCGATGGGACGATCTTGGCGGCGAACTGCTGCTATTGTAATCGTCATGATTCGTTTTGTCCTGCTCATTCTTCGGTACTAACGACGTGTGTTTTGTTTGTCTTGGCCTGGGTAGGTGCAAGCCGGTGTTTTTAGAGACAAAAGATCTAGAAAAGGGTGTGCCGCTCACGCTTGCTTGGTACGCGGAGGATGTGACTCGTCTTGTCGAGAAAGAGGTGCAAGAAGTAGAAGAGGTTATTCGCTCATTTACCCCGAGGCCGCCTTCATCGAGTGGGAGCCTGATAGCAAAGAGTCGGAGATGCGTGCCGTGTTGAGTATGCAGACAAAGTCTTCCCGTACGAGCGAGCGTGAAGACATGACGCGAGCGTTGGCACTGCTTGCACGGACATTAGAGCGGAAGACAACAGGCGCTGATCGTCCAGCTACGACCGGCACGAGTGACTAAATGTTCAGTGGTGGTACGATAAACAGATGTGATGTACGTTCGCCATCAATCGAAGCCGGCACAGCCGATAAAGGACTCATCTTACTCAAATGGTCAACAAAGACCACAATACCAGTGTTGCCGTCCAATTATGTTGGCATATTAAACACATAGTCCATACTGATGGATTCCTAACAGCCCGTGGGTTTAGGCAAACTCGCCAAAGGTGCAGCCGCATAAGCAGAGGGTTTGACCCGTTGACACGTTTCACACATATGCACATATGTGCTCACCCATTTCTATGATTTGGGCCATAAATAGTGCTGGCTGAACGAACCATAGGCCTTCTCTAGACCGAGATGACCGCTCAAAGCTGTATCATGCGCGTCAAAGAGGATACGATACTTTAATTTCCTCCTCATGAGGTACGACGATGCGCGGACAATCCGCCGCATCCGTTCTACAACACAAGAGGCCATGATCGAAAGAATTTCTATGTAGCCCTGCACGCTAGCGTGCCGACAATTTAGTGTCCGAGTCTTTAAACTCATCACAATCGAGTGCGCGTAACAACGCGACACACTGCTCATCCTTGGGATAAGCTGCACGGATTATACAGGGATAGAAGACGACAGAGTCGTAATATGAGCAAGCTTATAATCCGGCCTGCGTGATAACGCATCGGCCAAAGCTTTTGCTTCCCTAGTTTATTCTTCACCTCGAAGTTATACTCAGCGAAGAATGAAATCCAACGGTCCATACATTGCGAGAGATGAAGCGACTGGGTCGCAGTGCCCAACGGCGCATGGTCCGTGTAGATTACAAACGGCTTGGAGACAAGTAGATGTACTCTAGACTTGACAAGAGTATACTTTATCGCAAGTAACTCTTTGTCGTGAACTGGATAATAATTTTCAGCAGCTTTTAGCTGGCGAGACTCATACGCAATGTCGCTCTCATGTCCATAGACATCAGTTTGCAGCAATGCACTGCCAATGGCAAAATCAGATGCGTCAAAGGCGACAATGAAAGGTCTCTCCGGGTCAGGCAAAGCCAAAATTGGAGCATGAAGGAGACTCTCCTTATCAGCTTAGAAAGCTTGTGGCCGGACCGAGTCCCAACACCAAACCGCGTCCTTTTTAAGGAGGTTGTTCAATGGCCTTGCCATGTCAGCATAGTTTGCACTATACTTGTGTAAATAATTGGCTAAACCAAGCCATTTACGCAAGTTCTTTGGGTTGGACGGAACCGGCCAATCCACTACGGGTTTTACCCTAGCGGAATTTGCCTGTAGGCCGCGCTTTCTAATGAAGCACCCTCAAAAAGGAATTTCTTCAGCACCAAAAATGCATTCAGGTGCATTTGCATTTAGCTTTTGATGCGCATGCACCCGAGCACTGCTTGTAAATGGTCAATGTGATTTTCCACATCTGATCTTCCTTGTTCTGCACGGCTATGGACAATAATTTCATCGAAATAGCTTTGTTCATATCCTCTATGAGTCCGGAACAACTGCGTCACGAGATTATTGAGCTTAACGTAAGCGTGCACAATGCGCCACTTTCCATTGAGCTTTCCGACACAAATGGTCGGTGTCGAGTGTGGAGATTTGCTCTCCCACACCATGCCTGCCGCGTGCTTTGCACAAAAGAACTCGTCAATGACGTCACACTGTTCCTTAGTCAATGGCTATTGACATGCAACACAATATTTGGTCCCAGGGACCAGGTCAATTTCATGACGCACACCTCTGTCGGAAGGTAGAGTGGATGGTGGATCATGACACACTACGTCCTAAAACTCCTTTACCACAGGATAGAAGGGATATGAAGGATCCTTCAAAATGGCAGATCCACTGCGAGCACTGATTGCAACTTTAATTTCCTCAAGGACTGTCTCGTCTACAAGGGATGACGATTTCCAACTAGATCAGGTCTAAGGACCACCATATCGAAAAAAACACTAGCCTTTAAGGCTTGATGAAATTCGTCTACAGACATTTCGTCTAGCTCTAGCAGAGCATTGATCGATAGGTGGGCCTCGAGACCAGCTTCTTCCTTAATCTCACCCGACACCCCATTGACTAGCGTGTACAACTGTTCATTAGTGTGCTTGTGGGTTGTGGCAGAAGCCTTTCTTTTCACAGCCTCCATCTGGCGTCGCTGTCGTCTGTGTACAGTAACTGAACACTTCAAAGTACTAGGGACATCCGGTTCCACGAGGTATAGATCATCTTCAATCTCGACCTGCTCTCTCTGAGAGCCAATGTCGTTACCGACATGAAGTGTGGTGCCCTCACGGACTACATCACTCTGTGGATGTATACGTACCACTACACTCGCAACTATTGAATTTAGCTTTTGATGCCTTGGCGATCGCCAACAATGTCATTACCGACATTTAGTGGGGTGCCATCACGGCCGACCTCACTCTGTGGATGTTTACGTGCCGCTCCACACGCATCACAGATATCACACTTAGGATGAATCGACCTTAAGCCATCAATGCTTTCAGCATTCAGTGATTCACTGTCATTGCTTGTGTCACCTAACGGAATACGTGCCGTTTCACTATTGTCAATGACATCAGAGTTAAATAGCTCAGACACTTCAATATCAAGCACACTGACAGATTCCGGTAGTGGCGCGCGCCAATAGCGCTTTTGTTGCCTAGCAAAGGTGGGTTCATGACTCTCCAAAGCTCTCTAGGAACATTCCGCATTGCGCCTAAGGTCTTCGACCTCCGATCAACCCATGGCTTATGGCGTTCAGGCCAAGCCATACTAAGGATGAGATCATATCTCGAGTCCAAACACAGGACAAGAAAACGTTCGATACTATCGAAATCTAAAAATTTCACACTTAAGTTCAACGGAACTTTAGATACGGTGACACGAGTACCTTTCGCTTAGCTAATAGTGATATCATCATCCTCATGCGCTTTCAGCGCCTCAGCATATTGCTGACATCCCTCTAGGGACCGGCGTCGAGCATAGTTGCCTGACGCTTCAAAATCAATAAATATTGACCACGGCTCTTCGAAACCCTTAATTGTAGCCGAGCCCACTAACAAGCCTGGCTGATACTCACGTCTCGTGGAAACTTCCACAAGACCGTCTGGAGCTAAGCCCTGTCTATCTTTACCACCTAAAAATTCGGCCGAACCTAGTTCCTCCCCAGTAGGGCGCCCCGCGCCTACTGGGAGTTGCCGTTTTCCCGCTACGTACCCAACTTCGGATTAGGAGGCGGATTGCGGCTCGGCCGACTTTGACGCGGCTTCCACAGTGGGCACTGAGGGCGCAAGTGCTTGGTGCTCCCGCACATGTAACATCTACGGATGTTACGTTGTTGTTCAACAGCCAGAAGATCTCTCTTTTTTTCTTCTGCATGACTGTCGTCTGTGGGCTCAGCCCCGTCAAATGATGTTTGGGCATGCCTATGAGTGCTATAGCGAGCGGCTTTAAAGTTGAACTTAGCTTTCAACGCTGTGTCTACAGCCTTTTCGTACGTTGAGGGGTAGACGCGGAAGACTTCCGTACTCGAGATCCCGTTACGAAGGCCCTCCATAAGATGGTGACACGGACTTGCTATGGAAGAGGGTCCAGCCCCATAGGAGCTATGAGCGTTCGTAACTCTTAGACAAAGCCCGATAATTCTCTATTTTCCTGCCTAGCGGCAAGGAATCGAGAGCGAACACGTTACGCTTGATTTGGTGGCGCTAACACCCGATACATCTCTCGTTTAAGTGAATACCGTGTGACAAACGCAGAGCTAACCGACGTATTACAGGTAAGATCCCATTTTTTGGCTCTACCACCGAGCTTAGAAATGGCTAGGCCAACTTTCTGTCGCTCCGATTGAAGCAAGGCGGCTTCAATAGCCATATCGATTTCTTGGATCGAGAGGAGGAGACTTCCCCTTTCTTTACCTTCAAAATTACTTAGCTCTAAGAGTGAGCGGACGAGTCTTTGACTCACTTTCAGGTACTGGAAAGTACCGTGTAGGTACGGCTGAGGCTAAATGGTCGTGGACCTGCCCTATCATTGTGGCCTTAAACTGCAAAAATGCATCAAGACTTGCATTAAGCACTTCTAAGCCTTGGGACACGATGTGGTCGACCTGCTCGACCCCTATCAATGATCTAAGCTTATAAAGCGCGATAAGTTGAGCCTTCGAGAGGCCGTCAAGGCCTTCCATCTCTCACATAGATTTAGTTGAAACGACTCAGGTGTAGGATTGACTACAAGTGCTACCAACTGTCGCGGAGCTACACAGCTCTTTAAGTCAAATGATAATTACTTAAACGGATTACGGGTTACGGCTGACAGCCTATTAGTTCTACGGAACTAATGTATCAAGTTAAAGTGTCACCCAGTTCTACAGAACTCGGGTGGACTCTACGAGCTAACAGCTCAGCTACTGTAGTTCTAAAGAACTACACGCACAATGTGCGAAAGGGGAATGCAAAAGTCTAAAGACTCTCTAACCCACGACAGTTCGAAGGAACTGTCAAACGCAAGGTGAAAAAGAGGGGGGGTCTAGGGACTTCTGCTCAAACGAGAACTGAACTTTATTTAGATTTTATGTTGTGGAAAATCCTACTTTATGCACCCTATATTATCCTAAAGTAAAATTAATACAAACACCAGCATTCGAACTAAATGGGTGGTTGCCACATCACTTAGTCATCAAATGATGACGGTACAAAGTACGTACACGGTAAGTACCGTAAACCTGGGAATATCGATCAATCGATACTCTCTTGCTGATGTAAAATCTAAGGTCACACACATTCATCCATTTTGGAGGTCTTTGACCAATTCAACCAAAGGCTAGTGTGACCCCGCTACAAGAAATGTGAAAGCTGGACGTTTGATGGATGAGAGTGGCGCGGCATGACGCTGGGAAAGAACGAATGGATCTATCCGGAGTAACTATCTCGCTATCGCTATTTCTCTCTCTTGATGGACCCCACCCACCTCGTTTTTTGTAAACTGACTGTACCTTACCAAGACAAAAGATTCTACTGGTCTTCACACCGACTAGGTTGCGCATATTTCTATTGGATTTTTTATCGCCTCGGGTCTTCGTTACCTTGACCTGCACGTTTGAGCAGTTGAAAAGCGAAGAAAAATTCGGCGACGTGTTTCGTGTAATATTACGGTTTCCTTATGACATCTCTGTGGTCTAGCAAGTACGATTGAACTATGCCGATACTTTTACGAGCTCTACGTCTTGGTGCCCCCATTGATCTGGAGTCTACATGAGTGCATGAGTGCAATAAGTAAAAATATTGTGTTGGAGAAGAAGAAATAAAGCAGCAGCATTGGGTTCTTGCTGCACAGTGATAATGTAATAAGTCGGTGCTGCCATCCGCTGCCAGTATACCGACGTTGCGGAGATGTTGTAGGACTCCAATTCTTCAGCAATGTCGGGCCTAAAGTCGTTGGACAAAGCTGGTAAAGTGCAAAGTGATTATATTTAGGTCCTTAGTTCACAAACTCTGTTGCTACTCTAAGCCTACTTGATTCTTCGACTATACGTTCCTAATCGCTATATCGCGCATTACTAATCGTCTAGTCGCACGTTAGTAATCGCCACATCGCACATTACTAATCGTCTAGTCGCGCATTAGTAATCACCACATCGCGCATTACTAATCGTCTAGTCGTACGTTTCTAATTCTGGTCATGCGTTTTTAAACACCCAAACGTACAGAAAGTGGGGGACGTCACTGTCTGGAAGGACAGTGCTGGTGAACCCCAAACACCAGATCCCGAAGGCTTACCTTTTTTGTTTGCACGCCCCACCGGTATCGAACCAGTGACCTTTGGGATGGTACTGCCATATTAAACCGGCTGAGCTACAGAACAATTTGTTAACACGTCATGCCCAGCCGTATTATATACAGCACTCCCACTCGCCTCGGCAGACCGTGGCGTCTTGATCCCCAGCATGCCCCGAAGATATACGAACTGCGCAGCGGGGATCGGCTTCATCATGAGGTCTGCTATAATGTTCTTCGTAGCGCGATTCTGTAGCAACACTTGGCCGTATGCAACCTTCTCGCGCACGAAGTGATACCGGATGTCGATATGCTTCGTTCTTTTATGGAACTCGGGTTTCTTGGCCAACGCAATTAAATCTTGGTTATCTTCATAGATTTTGACTGCTTCGTCGTTCTTCATTTCACCAATCTCACACAAAAATGCCTTGAGCTATAATGCTTCTTGTGTGGCTTCTGTCAACGCCATGTACTCGGCTTCTGTAGACGATAGAGCCACTGAACGCTGTTCTTGCACCTCCAGCTGATGCACCCGCTGTTCAACAGGAACGCGTATCCACTTGTGCTTCGCCGAGTTTCCACGTCACCAGCCCAGTCTGCATCTGTGTAGCCTTGAAGCTTGTCATTGATTGTGGCTTATAATTCAATCCCATGGGTTTGTGTGCCTTGGACGTACCTGAACACGCGCTTAAGTGCTTGCCAATGTGTCGGACAAGGGTCCGCTACGAACTGGCTGATCACTCCCACTGCAGCTGCGAGATCCAGGCGAGTCCCTTCCATGAGGTACATCAGGCATCCAACAGCATTGCGATATGGAACATTTGCCATCATGTCTTTGTGCTTGCATCCTCCTTCGCACATGGACCTTGTCAGATTTAGCCCGGTTTCTTTTGAAGTCTTAACTGGATTGCTGTGTTCCATGCCAAATTTCTCGAGGATATTCTTCGCGAATTTGGACTGACGAATCGAGATTGTGCCGACCGTGAAATCATGATCAACTTCCATACCGAGAAAATACTTGAGATTTCCCAGATCCGTCATGTCAAAACGATCACCCAGCGCCTTCTTTGTTGACTTGAGCAGCTCGTCGTTGTTGCTCGCGATAACCAAATCGTCGACGTAAAGTGCCACGAAGATCATGTCTTTATCCCGCACGTTTTCTTCTTCTTCTTTGTTATACACGATGAGTCTTCAACCGTTGAACCTTCTTCATCTTTTAGAACTACTTCGGCTTGAACGTAGTCGCGTCTTCCACCGTCGAAGACGTCTTCCATAAACTGTGCGTCGCGGCTGACCAGCACACGACCACTCTTGATCTCTTCGAAACGATAAGCTTTCTCGTTAGACGCTTCTGGCGTCAGGCAGAGTTTGAAAAGCCATTCGCCTTCGCCAGCACCGAGCTTCCACTTGACACCTTTCGTCTCCGCGAAGCATCCGTTGGTCACTAAGGTGACTGACCCGACGTCCTTGGTAAATCTACCCACGGAGAACAGATTACGCGATAACATCGGGATATGCCACACGTCTGTGAGCACACCTTTCTTGGTACCGCGTGGCGTCTTCATTGACATCACGATGTCGCCTTTTCCATTAGCTTGAGCGACACCATCGTCTGCCAAGTGCACATCGACCGAAATTAAAGACCTTGTAGTTCTTCATGAACTTCATGGAGCTCGTCATGTGCTGCGTCGCACCCGAGTCGACCAGCCACACGTTACTCGACTTGGCGACTTCACCACCAACCGAGAACAAATATTCGCCAAGATCTTCATATTGCGCCACGTTCGCACGCTGGAATCGATGTCGTTCCGCGTCTTCTTGGATCCGCGAGGGGCACTCCGCGATCAAATGTCCTTGTTTCCCACACTTGTGGCACGCACCAGTCTTCTTACCTGGTCGTCCGTTTCGCTTGTTGTCTCTTGACATGAACGCTTGAGATAGCCCATGCACGGATCCCTAGACTCCGCCACCTTGCTCCTTGCGCTTCAAGTCTTCATGCATCAGACGAGACGTCACTAAATCCCATGTCAGCGAGTCGGATCTTGACTCCAGCGCCGTGATCAGGAACTGATAGGACTCGCTGAGACTGGACAAAAGAGTGATGACCAAGTCGTCTTCGCTGACCAGAGCACCAACCGCGTCGAGTTGCTCCGCCAGGGTCTTGAGCTCGTTGATGTGCTCTAGCTCGTCATCACCTTCTCCCATCATTGTCGTGAAGAAACGGCGACGAAGAAAGAGCTTATTAGAAAATCTATTCTTCTTTAGTGTCCCTCTAGACGTGACCATGCATCGTACGCATTCTCCGCCGAGCGCACCAGTGGCAACTGCGAGTCCTCCATTGCGAGACAGATGATCGCCAGTGCCTTACGCGACTTTATCTTGAACGTTGCTTGGTCCAATGTCGACACGCACTACTCAAGCTTCACCTCCCCACTCACGACATCCCACAGGTCTCTCTCCTCCAGCACCATCTGCATCTTGAACTTCCACGTACAGAAGTTTGTTCCGGCGAACCTATTGATGCGGGCGGTGGTGATCGGCATGGCGTCCATGGAGAAAGCGTGGTCGAGGTCGTGGGCAGAGTCTGCAGGGTTTGGGCTCATAACCTTTTGTCGTTGGACAAAGCTGGTAAAGTGCAAAGTGATTATATTTAGGTCCTTAGTTCACAAACTCTGTTGCTACTATAAGCCTACTTGATTCTTCGACTATACGTTCCTAATCGCTATATCGCGCATTACTAATCGTCTAGTCGCACGTTAGTAATCGCCACACCGCACATTACTAATCGTCTAGTCGTACGTTTCTAATTCTGGTCATGCGTTTTTAAACACCCAAACGTACAGAAAGTGGGGGACGTCACTGTCTGGAAGGACAGTGCTGGTGAACCCCAAACACCAGATCCCGAAGGCTTAACTTTTTGTTTGCACGCCCCACCGGTATCGAACCAGTAACCTTCGGGATGGTACTGCCATATTAAACCGGCTGAGCTACAGAACATTTTTTCAATACGTTATGCCCAGGCGTAAAATTTACAACAGGGCACAGCTCAGCAGCGCTCAGCCAGAAGTTGCAGCCAAAGTGGTTACGTTTGCGGGACTGCTGCATTTGCATCGTTCTTGTTTGCATGTCGAGACAAACTTATCGCTTGCCTCGTGTGTGTTTGGCATTGGAGTATCACTTGTTTCCTTGATCGAGTGAATGTTTTAAAGGCGGCACGTAAGTGAAAGAGTCGAAATAAGTGATGATGTCCCGGAAGGCATCAGCGTTTTCGATTAAAATGTTGTGGCATGAAATGGACGTGTGCTGCGTGCGGACCACATCGAAGTTTAACAAGGCACGTCTATTCTAGTCTCGGCAGCGAAGCTTGATCTGATCGGGTGTTCCTGTCGGTTCGCTGTGTTTGCATTGGTTAGCACGTATATTGACAGAAGAATAATGTGGATAGGTCGCTGCTGGGCACGCAACTTCGTTGCTTTAACCGGTATACTCGCTGCAGCTTTTTGCCGATAATGATGTGCTGTCTCGAGATATACTTGCTTCGTAAAGACTTGACAAATTGATGGCCACTAGTTTACAGCTATTTCAAAGGTGCCCAGATAAACGTGTAAGCGACGAAGAAGATATAGACGTCAACTATGAGGCTGTTGACACTTTGGAATTCTCGGGACTTGATGGCGCAGTCCAGAGACATCGATTATTTTCCGATGAGTTGTATAGGAGACAAACAACATCAGGATCAACTGCTTGGTTGGTGAAGCGCGTATCGTCTGTGCTGCAGCTGTATGATAAAGAAATTGCCAGGAAAGTAGTCGGCGTGACCGACCAGACCAATCGGGCTTGAACGAGGCATTCCCGTGGCTAGTGAGCTAACAAAGGAGCGTGTGCAGCTAAACCGAGTACTAAATCGACCTTGGTAGCAACGGTCTTGAACCGCGATCATCAACAGAGGCTTCATAGTCACTGGCAAGACCTCCCAATTGTTCGATCGATTTCGCGTTCTTTGATTAGCTTCGGGTGCACCACATATGACAGACAGCGATTGCTACCGAGAGTACGAGTGCACTTCCAGACCCTTTGACGCAACATTAGGTACTGGTACCCAAATTTTGTGCTTGTCAACGTCTCCGTGACAGCCAATCTCTCGTATCCAAATCTTGTGGCGCTCGATGAAGACCTGTCGATGCTTTGCGCGATTCAGCAGCGCCGGCTTGTCCTATCGTTGTCAAGTAAATAAGGTGGCTGGTTAGAACTTAAAGCCGTTCGACAAGCAGCCGATATAACTCCGTTCCATGAAAATCTGGTCACAGCATTACGGAGTTTTTTGGGACAGCGGCGACGTATGTAGCTCTTTCAGAGCCTTCAAGTTCTTTCTGCAGCCCTGTTTGAACACGCTTGTTGTTACATATTGGACCAGGAGAGACTGCACTACTTTCACTGAAACGAGAACGCGATGAGTGAAGTATTGAGTCGTCTGACACAGCAAATGACCCGTACCGTACGCACAGTATTCTTGTGCAGTACTGGTGATGCGTGGATAACCTTCTTGCAGCGTAAGAACCTTCCTTGATTGTGTTTGAAGTACCGACAGCAAGAGCCAAGTTGCTAAAGGCTTTCACGACTGTGGCGTTCATCCACGCATCTCGCGGTGACTCGAAGGCTGTGGAAGACGTGTTACGAGACATGGCGAGTCAAGGTGTTGCTACCGACAGGATGTTCTTTGACTACGTCCTCAACGCACTGTACGGGTCCTGCGGTATCGACATGTGTTTCTCGCACTTGCGTGAGCTGAGTGCAAACGAGCTGGCGATTCCAGACGGGCTGTACGTCTTTCTGGTTGATCTCGGTACCACGATTGGTTTACTTAGTAATGGTACGCGTGACACGTGGATTTGCTTGTGTTCAATCGGCGTTGGAACCTACGGATAAAATATACTTCAACAACCGATCAGATGTGAGAGCGCGTACTGTGTCAATATCGAGAAACGTAGCAGCCATTGATACACGTACACTGCATGAACCAATGCACAAGTCGTTGCTGCGTCAGTACTTTTACCATGCAATGAATTCACTTACACACCTCGGGTGCCTTCATGTTACAATGAAGCCGATACTACCACACCCCCTGCTCGAGTCTGCTCACTAGTCCTTCCACTTTGCTCAATGCTACTTTCATGCGTTAGGCTGCCAGAGGCTTCAATGTGACTTGACGTTTCCATTCGTGACCACTTGTCCGCAACCCGATGAGCGTGACTTAGTTTTTCATCTGAAGCATTGACTATCACAGACGTGCGGATGAACGTGAATCTTACTGGCGTGAACGTGGCTCCAAGAAACTGTCAGCTGTGTTGCTGCAGCCGGATCGACTTGCAGCTGTAGAAGCGAATTAGACGAGTTTAGCTGAATAAGATAATATATGCGCGTTTACAAAAGGTTGTCGCATCAGTACAGAGTATTGTTGCTGTGACTGCGCATGTTTCTTGATCATGCTTTTACTGTTAACACCAATGAAGTCGCGAACCATGTTTACCAGATAGATATATTAACAACGTTTATCGCTAGACTACGGTCTAAGACACTGCAAGTGTAAACTAGTCAACACTTGAGATTGTCGAACAAAACGAATCAGCTCGATCGTAGCGGCTCAACTGGCGTTGGCGCTTGTTCTTTAAATGGAGCAGTGTCCGGCTGTACCACGTTCTATCTTCCCCATCTTCATCAGGATCGCGAGTAGCAACGAGCTGTGTGAACTCCTTGGTATTAATCTCGTTGCAAATAGGCTTCAACTTGAACCTGTTTGCCGGCTGGGCATCTGCAGTACCTGCTTGGGTAGCATGCCACTTGTTGCGCCTGCTTGTTTCCTTTAGCGGGCGCAGTGCGTGGCTACACCCAATGGTGAAGTGATTTTCATCACTTGAGCGCAGCTTGGTGAGCTGGTTGAAGTCCCAATCAGTGGGACTAACGCTCTTCTCGTAGATGCCGCATGCTTTGGAAGCAATCTCCGACAGGACACTCAGTACATGACGGATACTCTCTTCAACGAGGTTGCATAAGCTCTGGATCTCGATAGTAATCCACTAGTAAACACATGCACACAGAAGAGAAACTTCAGCAACAAGTAAATTGATAGATCGAGAAATGAATCATGCACTCATCATGATCATTCAAACTGGTTAAGTTGTCAACGGGATTGTGTTGTAGACTCGAGTGTTGCTGATATCGATTTTTTCAGAATGAAGTCGTCCTCGCTCATGCCTTTGCTCCGACCCGTGAGATGCACCGACCCAAGTCTGCGACGTGGGAGTAAGTACGCATTTCTCTCACCAATCAGGTATACTCGCCATGCTTGTTCAACCCATCAAGCGACTAAACTTCCTGCAGTCTCTTACTCGTTCTTCTGTACTGAGGTCTGGTCATCTCATGTACCTCGTCCCAAGACCGACTACATGGATCACGTCATCTTTACCTACCTCACCTATAAAATAGTAGTCAAAATAAGTTTAATGAACACCTGCACAACGTCATCTCCAGCCATCACTCTCTGCATTATGTCAGCACTCTCTACATTCAGTCACTAGTTTCTGATATCCTATCACCTATGCGACGTTTAGAGTTGCCTCGGGAGCGTTTCGGATTCTATTTTTTAAAGGAAATACGTACACATGTGGCATTTTCGACAGAAAACACGGTCTTAACTCACGCGCGGCAGCAGACGAGCCCTTGGACTGATTATGGCAGTGAACGAAACGACACGAGTAATCAAATTGATGATTACGATGAAGGTTACAAAGCGGACATTCAGCAGAGCAGACGGTGCTGCTTGCCCAATTGAATTAATTGTCGAGCTCTTGTTGTAACAGGGCACCCTGAAGCTTGTATTGATGACAGTACAAGCTACTTATTCTGACGACAGAATAAGGCGGTGCCTTGGAACTTGACGTACACAGGTATGTGCAGAGGAAGTCGGTAACAAGAAGCGAGTACTTGGTTAAAGTAAAAAGTAGAACTGTATTTATCATAGTTACTGTCTGTTAACAAATCACTATTTATCCTCATCTAACTATGTCTGAATACAAATGTGCATATCAAATATCTGCTCACCACTCATTGCGTGCGTCTCTCGTGACGCGTCTTCGTTGGTTGATATAATGGCCTATATCAACCAATTAGGAACTACTCGTAAGTGCTACAGAATAGTTGTCCTAATGACA